ACCGTAGTTAGGTGTATTGATGTACGTTTGAGAGCTCTCTACCAACCACTACGGTGCTTCCTCCTTAATTTCTTGGGAATATGAAAGTCATTAGGTCGTAAATGATTAATAAAGTTACGAGAGTAAATGATCCTGTTAGAATTCATATTTAGGTGATAAATAAATGTGAGTAAACGGTAGATTGTAATATAATATAATAATATATAATAATATAATGTAATAATATTGTAATAGCTGGCCCAAAAATTCGAAGAGGTCGCCAAAGAATCAAATATAGAGCACCGCAACAAGTTCACCGTATCCCTTCCGACAGGTAGACGGCAAATAGTGTATCCCAGTTTGAACATCTATCCTGTCTATTGCTGCACCTCTGCTTAAGCCGTCAAGATTAGAGGTATCAATTTATTTTGAGAGGAATCTGTGGTGTGCACCAGGATCGTGTCACTGCTAGGACTTGCACTGATAATCCTTCATATATGCCTTCAACTATGTGAAACAAGAGGTATTAAGAGAACAGTAGGGGAATCCAGAGAGTGAGTAATTAAAATCAACAAAGCAGGCAGGGAAAATTGCAGGTAGGACAAGTAAAAAGGACTGGAAATTCCTAATAGAGGTGACATGAAGCTAAAATAAAGGGTTGGATAGAACATGGAACATTGTAGTTTATTACAGACTCACAAAAACGCACTGCTTTGCCCTCTGAATGTTTTTCACTTCCAGATAACCTTGTCTTGAAGTCTACGCCTTATGCGTCAGTGGTCTTGTCAGTCCTCAGGGAATAGCCTAGTGAACCAATCCTCTGAGAAATAGGCCTGGCCGTATCTTTATTACTGTCTCCTTATGGAACCCTTTTCCTCGGTTAATGCGCGGGCTAACATAGTATCCTTCTCGCAGTATATTTCTGTTTGAGGGGTCTAAGACGTGCATTAAATTACTGGGCTTTGTTACATGGCCCTTAGTTCTGCAACAAGTTAAGCTTTCGAAACCGATAGTTGTATAATAGGCATTTCGAAAGGATAATAGTACTGACTTCATTTAATGGACAAATATTTGAGTTTAACACACATTTAAACTAGCTGAAATAGTGATTGTTGAACGTTACTTTAACGTGAAAGAAAACGCCAAGGGGATCTACTCAGTTTTACCGGCGTTTTGTCAAATGTGGCAGACTTGTTATTTGAGAGGTCAGGACTTCATTATTTAGATGCTCATTAACTTTTTCTCGAGCATTATTGTCAAATGCAATGTAAACTTCATCAGTACTGACACCATTTGTCTCAGTTATTCTCTTTGTTGTAGTGACTTCGTCATATCGGTCTAGATCTCCAAAAAAACCATTAAGTGATCAAAGTGGTCCTTTAAAATCACTTCTACTGACAAAGGCGTAAGAGAACACCATCATATGTAGTAGAATCTATGACGTTGATCATTATAACCGAGCATTTGGCTCACACATATAAATGTCATCCGACTAACTTACTTATTTTCAACTGTATTATTCTCTAACCCCACCCTTACTTGATTTTAAACACCACTCATTAACACTGTTTCTAACCTGACCTCATCTGAATTCTACTCACTTAATCAGTTCTATCTTATTTTCCATCTTAACGTTTGTTTCCAAGCCAAAAATTACTTATATTACATAATTATCTAAACTTTATAAATCTAATGTACACACACAGACAAAATTGTATAAATATGCGATTGTACAGCTAAGTGAATGAATTCGCCGAAAAGAGTCTCTTCGCTGAACGCCTTCTTTTCTTTTATATGACTGAATGGGGATTTTCAAGTTACATATAATGTGTATATAATAGGTTATCTAAGAAGTATTCCGATCATCTGGAGCGAAATCTGTTCCAGAAATCATTACATGTTCCCCTGTTCAATAAAGTAATGTAGGCTATGTTCAACACAAAAATGTAGTTACTGAGAGGTAGTTTTTGACTACGAATTTCAAAAGGGCGAGACAAGTAACCAAGTACGAACTATAACTCCTTCATGAATTTTAAGGCTTTTTACAGTCAAATGATGAATTCTCTTTCGTTTGTCCGTCTAGGTTTCCTCACTTCGCCTTTCTTTTGCTGTACTTTTTAAAAGAGCGTTCAAGCTATACGAGTGCTTCATCTGCGTTAATAATCAGCAATTTGAGTAACTATTTTAACAGAGGAGTTGAATACTAAATCAACTCATCACCGCATCGCTTGACATCTTACTTCGTGTTACAGTTCAAATTTGTCAAAAGACAATAGCTGCTATCGGAACATAGCTGAGGTAAATAAGGATGCGACTGTTTATCATCACAAGGCATACTTAGCTAAAGCACTGACGAACTCGTAGATAAGGGGCGGTTGAAAGGGCACAATGATTGCTTGCCTTTGTGATTGGCTTTGTGATTGCCACATGGAAGGACGTCGCCATATGGTACCAAGTCGAATCATTTAGTCTCACAAGACGATCACGACGTGCAAAGCCTGGAGATATATCTGTTCCAATGTGATGGACGACATCATTCTGCAGCAGTATTTTTCGAAAGGGCGGTAGATTTGAAAAATTGTTTTGCAGAATATTTGTACGGAGATGTTTCTATGCGTGTTGCTATCATTTCCGCAGTTGCTTAGCAGCTCACTGTATGGGCAATGCAGGCCGTTTGACTGATTCTGTTAGTTTGTGGCCCATATTGCAAGTTGGTATTCTACAGGGTACCGAAATGTCGCTGCTCTATGTAAGTGGTGGGATGTCAGTAAGATAATATATATTTTCCTATCAATGTAGGACACACCAGTTGTACAGGCATGGATAAGTATTATTTAAATTACATGAATTTGATTTATAGTGAAATTACATGGTTGCTGTCCTCTCTGATATCAGTTAGTGAGCACATTCTGATAGTTAGTCGTTCAATGGAGCACATAAAGAAATATAGAAATATTGTCTTCGCATTAACAAAAAAAACCCAAGTACGTGTCGGATAAATTACAAATATTTGGGAAAAAAATAAAGCTTGAAGTCAATTCCTCCATATAACTTTGTTGTGTGCGGCATCGTATCTTGTTTTATGTTCAAATTGTGTATTAATTTAAAATGAGTGATTTATTTTTATGATTTTGACATCACTTAAATTGCAAGTAATACCAGATGTGAATTCAACTGAATGTAGATTAATATTGGTCATTGTCAAGCAGATTTGTTTTACTGCACTCAAGTCACCCATAGCCCGCTATTTGTCACAGCATGGTTGCTCCGTACGAGTAAGTTGATAAACGCGTAGAAAGCTATATAAAAACCATTTTAGATCGTTGACAGTGCTTGTATAAGATGCTGTACAGCGTCTTGTTATGGTGACAGTGGATTTCATCAAGGATGCTGAGCCATTACTAGCCAAACCTTGAGGGATGATATATGAGTAAGTGACTTCAATTGTTTCTCAGCTTCATTCGGAATGTAGATCAATGCAACTTGTACTACAAAGTAAATACAACAGAAATGTACCAGAGGACAAAGAAAAACCAGGTCGAGTCTAAAACATTTGATTATATTCGTTGTACATTGTAATTTGATGAACAAAAATTTGTTTCTACTATGTCTTTTTATGCATTTATGCTACTAGTTTATTTATAGTCTTTAGGGAAGTAAGGGTATTTAAGCGCGTTTAGGTACTGTAGTAGACTAATAGTTGATTCGTTCTAGGAATAAATAGTTTATTTATATAGTCGGTAGAGTGAAATAGTCTTTTTATGCATTTATGCTACTAGTTTATTTATAGTCTTTAGGGAAGTAAGGGTATTTAAGCGCGTTTAGGTACTGTAGTAGACTAATAGTTGATTCGTTCTAGGAATAAATAGTTTATTTATATAGTCGGTAGAGTGAAATAGTCTTTTTATGCATTTATGCTACTAGTTTATTTATAGTCTTTAGGGAAGTAAGGGTATTTAAGCGCGTTTAGGTACTGTAGTAGACTAATAGTTGATTCGTTCTAGGAATAAATAGTTTATTTATATAGTCGGTAGAGTGAAATAGTCTTTCTATGCATTTGTGCTACTAGTTTATTTATAGTCTTTAGGGAAGTAAGGGTATTTAAGCGCGTTTAGGTACTGTAGTAGACTAATAGTTGATTCGTTCTAGGAATAAATAGTTTATTTATATAGTCAGTAGAGTGAAATAGTGTGTACAGAGAGCGTTTGAAACTTAAAGCTGTATTACAGTTCCTGATATCTAGGGGCAGATTGTTCCATATTTTAGAATACATGACTGTGAAGAAGTTTTCGCGGAGTGTTGACTTAAAGGCTTTTATTGTCACTGTGCAATTTTGGTTACGCAGATCGTAAGAGCCTTCTTGCGCGAATTGTATGTCCTTAATGTCTGAGAATGATATTTTGTGTAGGACCTTATAGAAGAATACTAGGTTTATAATTAGTCGTCTTGTCCAGAGTGGGTCAAGTTGTAGAATCTTGCAACGTGAGATATAGTCTTTCTTACATTCGTAGCCTAGTAGTTTCGAGGTAAAATATCGTTGGATACTTTCAATTCTTAGCTTTTCACGTGTGTGAGTGCTGCTAATAATAAATGGACAGTATTCTAGTAGTGGCCTCACACAGGTTTTGTACAGAATGAGCTTTGCTTCATTGTCGTGAAAGTTCCTGAGTATGCATCCTAAGAGCATTCTCGACTTTTGAGTCTGTGATGCCACTTGCTCAGAGAATGTTAGGTTACTCGAGTACCTCAGACCTAGGTCAACGACACTTTGGAGTTTCGTTAGGTTAGCCGATTGAAGCGTTAACTTTATGTCGATTGAGGGTGCACCGAAGCAGATCCAGCCACATTTTTTAAGGTTGAATTGGAGGTTCCATAAAGACGACCAAGCAGTCACTTTATCTAGTTCTTCTTGTACAACATTCTGGAAGTACCCTAGGTCATCAGGTTGGAATGTATAAGCTACTTTGAGGTCATCTGCAAAGATGAATGGTTTACCATGAGTAAAGCAAGCGCATATGTCGTTAATATATAGGGTAAATAGAAGGGGTCCAATGACACTACCTTGTACTACACCAGAGGTGATTTGGCTAGGTTTCGAAGTTATAGATCCGAGTTTAACTATTTGGGACCTATTGTTAAGGAATGATTTAAGCCATCCTAATAGCGGGTCACTTATTCCTAAGGATTTCAGCTTGTGCACTAGTAGTAAATGGTCGACACGGTCAAATGCCTTTGAGATGTCAAAGTAGATGACAAGTACTAGTTGTCGCCTGTCACGACTGCTGGTCACAAAGTTAAAGAAGTCTAAGTGGCATGTTAAACAAGATCTGGATTTTAGGAATCCATGTTGGTTCGGGCTTATAATATTGCAACTAAGCATATGCTTCATTAGGTTTTCTTTAACTAGTCTCTCCATAATTCTAGAAGCTATAGGTGTGATATTAATTGGCCTGTAGTTACTGACGTCTGTTTTCGAGCCAGATTTGTGTTTAGGCATAATAAACGTTGTTTTCCATACATCAGGGTAAGTTTGGGTTTCTAAGGACATTGTGAATATTTTAAGCAGGAGTAAGGGAATGTCAGGGCCACCATATTTATAAAAATAGGATGATATGCCGTCAGTACCGAAACCTTTTGAGCATTTTAGGGTTCTTATAGTTTGTTTAATGTTAGTATAGTTAAATTCAATAGTGCTAATTAAGTTTGGTGTGTGTGGAGATGGAGTTTGTGCCACATTAGTAGCAGGGTGTATATTGAGTAACTGGACTGTGGGCTTAAGGTAGTTACCTGCAAAGGTTGAGTTGAATAATTCACACATGTCTGCGGAATTAGTACATAGCCTACCTTTGTCTATGAGGAGAGAAATGCTGTGTTTTTTGCGATTCATTCGCTTCTTTAAGATTTCCGTGAGTGCATACTCTCTAGCAGGACTGGCTACTGCGATGCGTTCTTCGTTTCTCATACGGAAATTTCGAGCTTGTGAGATGGAACTAAGGGTGTTAAGTATTAAACCTAGTGTGCCAAAGTCGTGGTGTTTGAAGTAACTTGTTGAGAGTTTCTTCAGTTTCATACGATCCTTTGGTTTTATGAATGACTTCCTATGTGGGGACAGCTCAAGTGTTTGCAGTGGAATGACAGCATCTAAGCATGTGTTCGAGTTATGGTAGAAGATGCTCAGGGCTCTCGAGAGGTCATCAGTAGTGAAGTATTCGCTCCATTCGGAGGATCTTAGCACTGATTCTACTAAGGTCCAGTTTGCCTTACTATAGTTCCTATATAGTACTTGTTGTGAAGTGGAGGTATGAGCTGCATTGCTATTCAGTGGAAGTGGCAGAGCACACATTACTGTTTTGTGGTCACTACCTGAAAACTTAGAACCCACTAAGATTGAGAGGGGGCTTATATCGTGACAGAATATTAAGTCTAGTACATTGTCACCTCTTGTAGGGATAGTGACAGTTTGTTTCCAGCCGAAGATGTCCAGTGTCCCTAAGAGCTTGTCGTATTTAGTTGGCCCTTTTAATAAGTCCCAGTTGATTTCGGGTAGGTTGAAGTCTCCACATATGATCTTATGCTCGTATGGAAGAGTGGATACTTGCTCCAGTACATTTATAAGTTGTGTCTCGTAATCACTAAAGGTGCCAGGTGCTCTGTAGATACATCCTATTAGTAGTGTAGCACTTTTGAAGTGTACGTTGACCCACAGGGTGTCGTGCATGTCATTGAGTTCCTTATTTTCTAGCTGTAATACAGTAAGTGTGTTCAGGAAGTACATTAGACAGCCTCCTCCCTTACCACTCTTCCTGTCACAGCGAAAGTGTATGTACCCTTCGATGCTTATCTCTTCGTCTGGTATATTGGAGTGACACCAGGATTCAGTAATAATAATTATTGGGGGTTTGTATACCAGCGTGTGTGCCCTGAGCATCGGTAGTTTTTTAAGGATAGATCTAGCATTAATAAGTATTAAGTAGAGTTGAGATTTGAAGTAGTGTTTGAAGTGTTTAAGCTCGTCAATAAGGTTGAAGTGTGGATCGGCATCCGCTGTTTCCGCGTGGCATATCAACCCTGTGTTGCAACCAGTTTGTCCACCTATGTCTGTCAAGTTACTATCCATCTTTTTTAGTGGGTAATAGGTTTGATTATTAGATAAACTATACAATGACGTGGTTCTAGGCTTGGGTAGGTTGGAGACTTGGGTTGAGGTTTTCATTTGGCTTATGCTTGTGCAGTCTTTGGGTGTGACTAATAGTTCCGTGTGTACTAGCCCATGTCTGTTTTCTTCCCGGTAGGGGGCCGACGTTAGTGGTACGGGTTCAGAAGGGTTAACATCCCCACCAGCTGTTTGGTTAGCGCTGACAGGGATGTGTTGGATAAAAAATCATTGGTACCTTGTGATACCCATGACTTGTTAATCTGCCTACTGTGTGTGGACATTCCAAGAGACCTTACATGGGTGTCGTTATGTGCGTAGCTGCACTGTGGTTTGTTTCCCAGAAGGCTTGTTCCGTATAATCTGCCAAAGTTAGTTTGTATGTCATGCCTGGTGGCTGAGTTCCGAGTGTTGTCACTTTTACTACTTTGCGTGATAGCGTCACTACACCAGCTACCAGTGTGACTTGGCACAGTATGCAAGTGGGTTGTGTCGTTGTTGTCCTTGGGCTCTATGTCCTTATTTTTGTTTTTAGTTTGGTTGCTAGCATGGTTTTGAATATTATTTACCTTAAAGCGTGAGATATTCTTGGGAGTCTGAATATGTTGGGGAATCTTCGCAACAAGTGGCGTATTTCGGCCTGTTTTGTTACCGAGTTCCATTTGCGTTGTCACGTTTTGGTTAGGAGAGGATGTTGTCAGCTTACAAGAGGGATTGATTACCATCTTATGGCTGTCCATAGACATATCTAGATCCACCGTAGAGGGAGGAGAGGTTACTTTAGGAGTAAGACTATAGCTCACAAGTCTTTCGTTTGGTTTGATTTTCTCTGGAGCTATTTTTACGGGATTAGAGAGGGGGGAAGCTATGAGTTCTACCGTGTTGGTAGTGTGTATATCTATTTTAGTGGCTTGAGGTGTCCTGCCATTTGGTTTATTAAGGTGATTGTAAGCACGCCTTTCAATCACTGTCTTATCTGCTACAACTTTTACCTGTTTGTAGCTTGTGTCCTGTAATAGGATACGTTGTGTGTTGATGAATTTTTTAGCCTCTGTCTGCGTTTCGAACTGAAGGCGTATAGGACAGCAGTGGTCGTGCTGACTCTTCTTCAGTCTGTGACATTTTGTTTGGGAGTTAGGCATTTTCGCCGCCCTAAGTAAGATGCTTTGAACCTTTTTCAACCCCTCATTATCCGGTATATTGTAGATAATCACACTTAGTTTAGTATCAAGTCTTTTGATAACCTCTGTTGTGATGAAGTTTATCAAGGTGTCTATCTTAGATACTGATTCTGTGTCAAGTTCGCCAGGGTTTATGGTCTTAGTCAAGATGTTCAGAGGGGCAAGTTCACAGACCTGTGATTTTATATCACCAACCTGTGTTGATAGTTCAGATAAGTTGGCCAAATTTTCTGAAAATCCTGCATTCATATCTTTTCTACACCTTATGTCCCGCATCTCAGTCTTCAGTTCTTCTATAGACAGTTTTAGTCGTTCTATTTCTGAAGTAAGTTTTGGAGCTGGACTTGGAATCTGAAGTTTTGTGACACGTACATAGGGTGAAGTGAAGAGGTTTATGTCAGGACCAAGTGCTGAGTTTGTAGAAGCGTTGCTACTGCTGTTTGTCAGCAAGTTTTCGCCCTCAGTTTCAGCCACAGTAGATGGTAGTGAACCGGCAGCTCGACGCTTGCGGCGTATTGGCAAGCTGTGTGCCTCATTTCCATACTTTGTGGGAGTTGTGCTGCTCGTCGTTGCGAGCATATTTATACTATTAGTAATCACGTTGACAGGTGACTGAGTTCGTGGCTTTTTTGTATGACTAACCATAACTAATTAGTGAAAGAGTTATTGGTTAAATTTATGGAACTGGAGAAACACTTGTGCGAGTCTCACAGTTAAAATAGAAATATATAGCGAATCAAGCTAAAATGTAACGCAAACGTTGAACGTACCGTACATCGTGTGCGGACTAAAATTCGAAGTCGCCTTTATATCCATAGATGAAATCGCTGGGGTGAGTGGCTGTCTGATGCAGTAATTCTGGATCTGACTATACACCATCGAGACCAGATAAGGGAAACAAGCTAACTTCCGTGAAATCAGCAATAATTCGTCAACATTTTTGTCACATAAACTGATCAAACTGCAGCTGGGATGTTAGTTGTCAACGACGAAATTCGTCACATGAACGGTGGTTGCGTTTTCACAAAATATCTTTGGTTAACCTGATCAAATTACGTGGAGGTAGAACACATTTGTTCCTTCCAAAACTCATGGTGGATGCGGAAAAGAAAGCGAGGCAGATTTCAGGTGCAACAGTATACGCCCTCGATATAAGTATAGAACTTGGGCACTGTGGTAGAGTGTAATTCCATTATGGATAAGATTTTATTTTGATAAATCACAGTGTTACACAGTAATATTAACTGATGACGTTTCGAGCAAAAATTATTGCTCATAATCATATCAAGTTACTCACACAAGACACACAAAAAAATTGTGTGAGTAACTTGATATGATTATGAGCAATAATTTGTGCTCGAAACGTCATCAGTTAGTATTACTGTGTAACACTGTGTGATTTATGAAAATAAAATCTTATCCATAATGGAGTATACGCCCTCGCCCTGAAAACCTATAGAAAGGTTGCTTCAGTTCTGAGGAGAAGATTAAAATATACCTCAAGTTGTTTGTTTGTTTCTGATTCACCAATTAGATGAACAAGGAATAGTGAGAATCAACTGATTTATATACTACTGTGGGTAGTTACAGATTGTTTGAGACCATATGGAGAATAGGCAACTGGCAGTAATTGAGTCAAATAATTCATAAGAGCGAGATGAATTGTGTGTGCAGAAGCATTACATAACCGACGAATAAAACTCAGACATTTTTGATAAATCGTGCTCGGTCTTTAAGCAGCACTACGAAATTGAGGCACTCTCCAGCACGTAACACATTTGAAATACAATGTATTAAAAGGTGCGTATGTCATGGAGCTAACTGGCAATTTTACCGAAATTAAAATCCACTCCTAAGCCAGTATAGACGGTTGTAAAGGAAGGATCACGGCCGTAAACAATTCCCCTAAATTATTAAAATACAAAATTGTTCACTCAAAATTGGATGCCGGCCAGCGCTATTTGAATCAACTGGTTAAGTTGTAGTTTTTGGTCAAGTACCTATTCCATTCGGCACTCTGTTGCATTACGTTTGGTCATTCGTGTACATGTAGGGGATCAAGGAAGTTTGTCAAATCAACTGAACCTTAGCTGTTTCTCCGCCAGTGTTCGACTTGTGTATCCGTGTGGATTGAAACGCACAGTGGAAAAGTGGATTTTCAGGAGACAAGAGGTCGGTGGCTGCGTTGTAGTGTGCTTGTGTATTTCTATACTC